AATGCGAAGCGCAGTCTTCTGCGGATTGGTATCTCTAGGCTTCGGGCCATAGTCGTCAGCAAACGTTACGAGGCAGTCTCGAAGATTTATAACAGCGACGTGCTCACGAAGGAAATCCATGCCAAGGATTACTTTCCGGGAGCATTCGGGAAGCACAACGAAAGAAGCGACGAACGTCGACTCACAGATTTGCAGCCTTGCGGTGCATCTCCCGATTGGTGTCAAGAGATGACCACCGGCTGTCCGAAGGTTTGGTCCATGCCCCCAAGGAGTCGTGACTTTCCTGAGTTCAGCCACAAGTTCAGCGCTGATAACTGAGTAGTCGGCGCCGGTGTCGACTAGAGCAGTCACTGGATGGTTGTCGACACGAACGGCAATGTCAGCAGAAACGGGTTCGTCAGCGATGTGAGGTGTCGGCTGAAAGGAATCGTCGAAGGTCGGTGGAAGGGTCGGAGGAGGCTGTTTTGACGATAGCTTAACAGCGGTCCCACCCCCGGAGGCCGCTGATTCTAGTTTCCCCGGCGTGGACTTGGGGACCTAGCGGATCGTCCCGCAACAACATCGGCGAAAGTGGAGTATTGATTCGTGGACGTAGAGCGTCGAGGAGACGGAGAGCGTGATTGGCGTCGCTGAAGATTCGGAGACGGTAGACTTGCCAAGTATTCTGCGATGGCGCGGGGTCGTTCGCCATCCCTGGGCCGACGAGCGTCTGGCCGAAATCCAGGTAGGCCCATCTGTCTGTACGAGCACTCCCGGTACAGGTGACCTGGCTCACCACAGTGGTAGCATAGTGGCCGATTGTCGGAAGCGCGCCACACGCTAGATTTACGCAAATTGGGTCGCGGATTCTCATAGTGTGGTGGGCCCGAGAAGTACTGCGGCATCTGCAGTCGTTGGTTTTCATAGCGTGGCCCGCCCGAGAAGTGCTGTGGCGTCTGCAGGCTAGTCGGTCGGGGGAAATAGCTGGCTGCCGGTGCAGGAGTACGTACAGCTTCCGCATACGTTAGCAGAGGAGCTTCGGTTGGAGGTGGCGCTAATGGTCGTACCAGCTGTCGCACCTCTTCACGGACGACGTCTGTCAGAGCAGCCACTTGAGGCTGTGAAGGCACTGCGTGAAGCTTTTGCAGCTCGTCGCGTACAATGCTACGGATTAGCTCAGCAAGGTCTCTCACGCTCGTGACATCGGGTGTTACCAAGGGTGCTGACAGACATGCAAGGTTGTCGGACCGCTCATACTGCGAAGATCGCTGTCTCAGCATTCGCTCCATTGTCGTCGCTTCACGGAGGAATTCTGCCACGGTAGCTGGTGGGTTTCGTACAAGTCCTGCAAACAGCTGCTCCTTGACACCCCGCATCAGAATGCGCACCTTTTTGTCTTCCGTCATTGCAGAATCCGCTCGACGGAACAGACGAGACATCTCCTCAACAAACATGGCCACGCTTTCATTGGGTCGTTGATTGCGAGAATTGAGGAGACGTTCGGCTTGTTCTTTCCGGTCAGCGCTACCATACGTGTTCCGCAGCTGAGTGCAAAACACCGGCCAGGTTGTCAGGGCGGCCTCGTGATTCTCGAACCAAATACGCGCCGAATCCTCCAGGTAGAAATAGACATACCGCAGTTTCCGGTGCTCGTCCCACTCGTTGGCGACGGCGACTCGATCGTATTGGTCCAGCCAGTCTTCAACGTCTTCGTAGGGCTCCCCATGGAAGGGCTTTGGCGTTCGGGAGGCTGGTAGCCATGGTGCTGGCGGAGTCGCGGACGGTTCAGTCTGGCTTGCAGTTGTCGCATATGCCATGGTTCTGGAGCGTTCCGGAAGAGGGCTGAACTGGGGTGGTAGGCCAAGTTGCCGCCGACTGCGTCGAATGTTGGCTGTTTCTACTAAGGTGTCAATGTTGGGACCGAGATCTTCCTCGTGGTAACAGTGCATAGACTATTACCCAGCACCTCCACCAGTGTCACGTTACAACGTGACTGTAACCTGCTGATAAGGGCACACAAGGACGTCAAACTGATTCGAACAACGGCAGTACGACTATTGTTTTTCTCTGCACGCGCATCTTTGTCCTCTTCTGAACAGCGGCACATACAAGCATGCTAGCATCTGTAGAAATAATAGTTTCAGAACTTGTACTAGTGGCAATATATATATATATATATATATATATATATATATATATATATTATATATATATATATATATGTATATATATATATATTGTTGCGGTTATAGTGAAAGGGTGTTTATTAGCAGGGCGAGGTTGATGGTTCGGTAGTACTGGCATCGGTCTCTGCGCCAGTTCACGTCTTCCTCTTCTTGTCCTCTCTCGGCTCATACCCGTTGCATTTCCCGGCTCCCACTGGGCGAGTATGAATCATTCTGAATGTTGAGGGTGAAACCGTTTAAGGCGGGGGACATGTACCAGCTGGGTCCAGTTTGACCGACGTCCAGCTGATGTCAGCTGTGCTACCAGGTATGTGAAATCGCTCAAGCAATCAGCAATGACGAATGAGCCACTGTACTGAGGTAAAAACTTTTCGCATGGGCCCCGTTTACGTAGTGGCATCCACAACCATACAAAGTCTTCTTCGCAGTATGCTACAGACTGATGGCGGCTGTCATAGCTTTCCTTTCATCGGTATTGCGAAGCCACAGTACAAAGACGAGCAATACGCCGGGCTTCTTCGGCTAGGCAGAGTGTCTTGGAGACAGAGTATAGTCGCTATGGAAGTCAAACGGTAAAATAGTATCGATGCACCTTAACGGCGAACGTGCGTAAAGGAGGTAAAAAAGACTGTAATTGGTTGTCTCATGTTTGGCCGCATTATACGCATAAGAAATGAAGGGGAGAACGTCATCCGAGTCCTTGTGGTCAGACGATACGTACATGGCCAACATGTTAGTCAGAGTTCTGTTCGTACGTTCTACCACGGCCGTGTGCGCTTTGATCCAGCGGCCGTGGTTCTACCAGACCATTCGTCTGAGGGTGATACGGGGATGAATGGCGGAACTGCGAATTGCACAGACGAACCACATCTTCGACGGCGTCCGCAACAAACTGACGACCTCGATCACTAATGATCACTCAAGGAAGGCCATGCCGAAGAATGATGAATCTAAGCGAAAACATGGCCACGCACGCCGCTGTCGAGGATGATATCGCTGCAGTTTCTGCGTAACGAGTCAGATGGTCGACGCACACTATCACCCATCCATTGTTGTTAGACGAGCGTGGAAATGAGCCCAAAAGGCCGATACCAACTTGATCAAATGGTAGATGAGGAGGTGGCAGCGAATGGAGAAGACCTGGCGGAGGAGTCGTAGGCGCTTGTGGCGTTGGCATTGTTCGCAACTTGTGACATAGTGCTGGACTGCGTCCCGCATTCTGAGCCAGTAAAAGCTCTCTTGTGTAATATTCAAAGTTCTGATGAACCCCAAATGACCAGCTGTCGCATCGTCATGCATGGCCTTCAGTATGTGAAATGTTAGACTCTGTGGCACGATTAGAATGAAGCGTGTGCTTTTAGCCGAATAATTTCTCTTGTATAGAAGGCCGTCACGGACACAAAAGCGGCCGTTGGCTTGAGGACGCGATGCCACGGCAAGTAATGGGCTCCAAGCTAATATTAGCCTCTTGTTCTTGAAAGTATTTAAGTCTGAGAATGTGGAAGAAATTGAGGCAAAACAGCCGTCAAAACTGTCTTCTTGACACTCAGTCGTCTTCAGGCGAAGGCGAGAGAGACAGAGAGGGGTGTTGGGCACTCTAAATTTACCTAAAGGAACATAAAGTGTTAAGCCCTGCCTGCTGCACCAAAGTATCGAGGGCTGCCAAATTTAAAATTAAAAAAATATAGAAAGTTTTTAACAAAATGAAAGAACAGAATAAAAGAAAGGGATGACTACCACCAGGGAAACGACAGCCAAGGGAGCGGACCGGGAAATCAGGGAATTTATTTTGTAGCTACCATAAACTAATTTACATTCTATGTGTAATCTTCGTCTTGACTGACAATGATTCTTCTTTTGTCTCCAGGTGTAAACTAATTTACATACTATTTTTGTCTTGTTTGATCTTGAAAAACAATTACTCTTCTGTTGTCTTCTTGTTATATAGGCTTCTTGTACCACTTTGTAGTCTTTGCTTGATGTCTTTGGCGAGAGAGACAGTCGGCATCTGCGTGGCGGCGTCCAGACTTGAACGAGATGACGACGTCGTACTCCTGAAGTCGAAGAGCCCAACGTTCCAGTCCACCAGTCGGGTCATGAAGATTCACCAGCCAGCATAAAGCGTGATGGTCGGTAACAATAGTGAACGGACGTTCATAGTGTAAGGTCGAAATTTGTGTACCGCGAAAACAGCTGCCAAGTATTGTTGTTCTGTTACGGTATAGTTTCGTTCAGCTATAATAAAAGAGCGACTGGCATAAGCCACTACGTGCTCAGCTCCATGATGACGCTGCACAAGTACAGCACCAATGCCGATGCCACTAGCATCAGCATGCACTTCCGTAGGCAACGACGCATCGAAGTGACGCAGTATGGGCCCCGACTTTAGTTGGCGGAACGCAGCGTCGCATTATATATATATATATATATATATATATATATATATATATATATATATATATATATATATATATGTGCAATGCGTATATGCATATACGCATTGCATATATATTTATTTACACTACTGCTAGCCCTTGCGGGCTGTAGCAGAGATGGGAGGTGCATATATATGCATATATGCAATATATGCTTATATATATATATATGCAATGCGTATATATATATATATATATTGGTGGTGGGCAACGACTGAGCAATGGCCTCGGGCGCACAGTGTTGCATTGGGATAGAGCAGACAAGTAGGATATAAAAGAGGCAATGGAGATGATGTGGCCAATGGTAGAAAAACGTATCACTAGTTATGGCTAGGTAATGCGTTCGCGTGACGACCTGGCACACGTACTATTCAGTCAGAAAATAGGTCGAAGTACTTACATGTGTGGTCGTAACTTGTCATGTTTCTCCTGAAAAATAAAAGAATAAACAGTGAGGCAGCGCTCCAGTTAGCTTTCTGAGCAGCGAAATACCACGAATGTAAACAAATCTCGATGCTGTAAAAATTACTGCACATTCATGAACTGAATACTGATGACGGAGCGAAGTTAAGTTTTAAGGCATGTAATGTGTGCGTTGAAGTCACTTGCTAGTATAAAGAACAGAAATATTGGCGGACGAAGAGACGCATGGGGAAAGAAAGGTGTATTTATGTGTGAAACACCTTACGGTCTAGATTTGTCTCTTTTTCGTTGTCCGGTACAGCACATGCAAGGTACCCACTATAAGGCCACCATAACTGTCATGATGTAGGTATGCACTCACTATGTCATTATGCCAATCGCCGTCGTTCTGCTAACAAGCGAGGTACCCGCTACACCCCTAAAACATTATGTGCACATTACGTGTGCTGTGTATGATCACAGTGAAAAATAGGAGCGTTCTAGACTACACGTTCTCTTTTTGCCATGGGTGGAAACAAACGTGAACATGCTCGTCCGCGATAGGCAAAGATGACGCAGACAACAAGCTACACTAGAGGCGAGAACTCAGAAACCAGCGATTGATCGCTCCGCATCTCCCGTTGAAGAGCCACAGGCGTTTAACACACAGCAATGGGCAATACATATTCAAATGCTAAGGGCTGAACGACCGGATAGATGTACAGAAAGCGGCGCAATGCCTTCCTATATATAAAAAACAAACACCTGACAACGCAGCCATCAACATGCACATAAAGCGAAACCTGAAAAGCAAAGCCCTCGTACAAGCCCGGCCTCGTCAAGAAACGAAACATTCACGCGTGGTTTAAGGTACTAGAATGCTCACCTCTCTACAAATACCTAAATGTAAACAAAACATACATAGAGCTCGTTTTTGCCAACTTTAAGCTAGATCTCATCGAAGAGTTCTTCGAAGCCTTCGAATGACGGCATGCGAACGCGTGTCTATTTCATATTTTCTGTAGTTTTGGTTGTTCTAAAAAATTGGGTGGATTTCAGAGAAAGATAAATGCTTTATTTTTGGGTCATTGGAGGAGAGGTAAAACACAGGGTCAATATTTTACCGATTTTAGCAAAAATAAAAAATGGCGTAAATACCTAATTAGCACTTTGTCATGAAAAATTTTGGTTATATGTATACACAACTACCACTATTGTACAATAAGTAGAATTTTCCTAAAGTACATGTTTTCTTTTGAATCTAGGTCCAAGTAAGCTGGGCCACCCTGTATATGTTTAAGTCAATATACAAAATTCAGTCTGGCACTATGGTTCTTCCACCATAGCTTGTTCACTCGTGTGAGCTGGCGGGTTGCGTGTCCCAGCGACGCGGATGAGCGTTCCCTGCAGCGCACACGACACCACTTGCGTTCCTGCAGCATGTGTACCCCGTTTGGACGGTACGCCAATGAGCGTCCCTTGAGTGAACAAGACATGGCGGAAAAATATGTTTTGGTTTTGTTCGATGAATGGCGCTGAATATTGAAGAGGGTCTCTTACGATGAGTAGTTGAATACTTGCGAAGGGCGACACTACAAGCTCCGAAGGGAGCGAACGTGTTTCACACCAACTCCGTCCTTGGTAAATGATTCTGCAGCGTTTTTTCACATTGTCCATGTTGCTTTTAAATTATCATCTCCTGAAAGTTATCTGGACTCTACCGATATTCTTTGTCAAGGTGGGAACTGCCCCGCCGCAGTGGTCTAGTGGATAAGGTACTCGACTGCCAACCCGCAGGTCGCGGGATCGAATGCCAGCAGCGGCGGCTGATTTCTGATGGAGGCGGAAATGTTGTAGGCCCGTGTGCTCAGTTTTGGGTGCACGTTAAAGAACCCCAGGTGGTAGAAATTTCCGGAGCCCTCCACTACAGCGTCTCTCATAATCATATGGTGGTTTTAGGACGTTAAACCCCACATATCAATGAAGGTGGGAACTGCTTTTTTATTCATTTTATTGGATATTTTCTCTAGAGCCACTGTGACACCGAGCTAAGGGCGCGTTCGCACTTAGCATCGAAGAGAGGGAACTCAGTGAAACTCTCCGGAAACTGGCTCATTTTGCCACCCAAGTGGCCGAAAACCACACCGCGCGCAAGAATCAATCCAAGACAGATTTTTCCGCCACACGTAAGCGGATCCGGTTTCCGCTTCATGGCGGCTTTGGCTGCGCTAAATCATACCACGTGATCTAACCAGCCGGCCACAGATTCAACATGGCAGCAAGGGATCGGTGGGGGCTCGCACCGGCTCAAATCACGAACTACCCGTGCAACACAACAAAGCTTGACGGCCTCAACGAGGACGCGTTCATCGAAAGACTGGTGGGGATTACGATCGCCGAAAACTCTGGAATTAGACGGTGCAGTAGCAGCGAGTCGGCATGCCCCACGTTTCTCACGTTTTTGTACGGCGAGCTGAATTCACCGCCGCCGCTGCGGGGTGCGTTCGCTCATGGCGTTTCTGCCAGCTTATCTCCCTAAAAAATGCCTGAAAAGGTGCTAGCTGTTTGTTTCAAGTACTTTGCGCGAACAACTATAGAATTCGGTACAAATCGTAGCGCACAGAAAGCAGGCAAAATCGAATTGATTCTCAAGAAAGCAACTGCAGCGGTGGCGTCAGGGGCCGAAGGAATGTGAATATTCTTGACGCGCGTGGTCGTGGTTTTCCGACCGCTCTTGCGATTTCAATTTGGCTTCACCTCTAAAGTGTGATTATGCCCTAAGATATGATCCGGACGCCTAGGTGGTCGCAGTCAGGGCTGCGCGTTAAATTTCATCAAGTCGCTATAAAAGTGCAAGTTGAAGGAACTAACATATCGCGCACCAAGATCTCCGAAGAGGCAGGATGGTGCACCATTACCCCGAGAGAGCGACATTCTTTTCAGGGCAAGCAGGCTATCCCTAACCCGGCGGCAGCCTCTCAAGTTGGCCATGGAGGCACGAACATTGTGCAACGGGGCCCGCGCGCACACAAGCAGCTAGTTTTCAAGATGCCCACCCTTCCCCGTGATCACTACAAAGTTGTTATCAGGTCACGGAGCGGCTTGAGCTTTGCAACAGTCGGAGTCATCCGCAGCAAGTGTATCTCCCTTAGACGCCATGGAAGATATCATAAGTCCAAACATACAGCAGAACTTCACCTTTGTGAGTGCACCTCACTCTTCTAATGCCGAACGGTACAACATGATTCACATAAGAAACTGCGCGAATAACGAGGGACAAGAAAAGAAAGAGACAGACAGCGGCACTGTCGTACGAATTCGCCCAAGCAATCGCGGAGCGGTACAGCCGACTCGCCAGGCTTACCGACTCGCCAGTCGACTCACCAGGAAGCCTGTACCCCAAACACCGACTTTCTTGGCAGTATAGGGCGCAGTGCTCGTAAGCCTGTACCCCGAACTGGTGTTCGGGGTACAGGCTTACGAGCACTGCGCCCTGTACTGCCAAGAAAGTCGCACGAGGTATTCCCCTCGATCAAGACACCAAAGCCATTCACGTCAATATCGTCAACAAAAGGAACCCAACTGCCTTGGCGGCCAAAAGACTGAACAGTACAACGTCGGTCATCATCACCTTCGACGGTGGCCGGGTCCCAACGTAGGTGTACTAAGGGGGTGCCATGCTAAGGTGCACCTTGTGCAGAAATCAGATCGACCTGTACCACCAGTGCGGATGTGTAGGTCATCGCATGGATGTCTGCTCAAACACTAAAGGCCGTGTGCGTAGAGGCTATGGAGCTTCGAATCCAAACCACAATCACAAATGCACGCTGACGTGTCGCCTCTATGGGGGAGCACATCCCACTGCGCACAAGGCCTGCAAGGCTTGAATCAAGACAGCTTGTCAAAAAACAACGTGGTGACCGACGAAGGGCCCCAGCGAAGTCTGCCCTCGAGCTGCAGCAGCACAACTACGGCGAACAGTCCACACCTCATTCTCGTTCCAGCTCTCACTCTCGAAGCCGGGCGTGGTTAATGGGCCCTCGATCGGGCCAGCAAAGCCAGTCTCGGATCCAGTACAGGAACAGAACTCCCGGACTGAGCCATGGCCGTTCCAGGTCATGGCGTTTGATGTAATCCAGTCAACCGGACCCGAATCTACCTGACAAGGTGAGCTTCGCTGATGTGGATAAGAGCACGCGGAGACGCAAAGCTCAAAGAGCTACTTTCTTAGAGCCTAATTATAAGAGGGACCCTTAAGATGCGACATTACAAGCAGTACAGCGCAAAAACGCGCACTTACGCACGCTAGTGCAGCAGTAAACACAAAGAATTCGCCCGATTAAGCAGTCGATGGCACAGTCACCTGTACTTCTGTTCCGAACGTCAACGATGGTGAAGCGCCGCCCGCAAAGAGACGAGCGGCAACCGATTCCGAATGTGAATGGCAGGACAAGCTCGAAGCCACAGCAAGACATTGACGCATAGAAAAAGCCACAGTATGCGAATGGCGGAACGAACAAGAAGAAATGAGGAAATGGGTAAACGTCTCACTGACATTAAAAGTTTGATCGGCGATATCGACGTTGTTGTCAATAACCTCACTGCCCGCACAGACAAGGTAGAATCTTACATTGACAGAATCGAGACTCACATAAGCCTTCGCCACGTCAGTGATGCCTGCTATGGACCCTACCGTCACTCACAATAGCACCATATATGATAGCGCACAAGCACAGCACTATGGTGGCCAGCCCTAATAACGAGCGAGTGATGTGGCAATGGAACTGTCGGGGCTTCACTAAGATGCAACCACTGCTGCAACATGTACAAGTCGCGCAACTTAATCCTCACGTAATGATGATACAGGAAAGAGTAGGAACCACACGAAAGCTTCCAGGTTTTAATGCATACGCCTCACCAATTGATCGTGGAATCAAAGTTTTAACGCGGGAAGACACCGTAATTCAAGAACACACCGCACGTGGTACATATGCTCGTAGAGATACTGCCAAACAGGACACGCAAGC